CCTCCCCGTCCGCTACTCTTTTGTTTTCTACGGGAGGGGCCAATCACCTCCAAGGTGTGGCTTTACTCCCAAGTCGACCCTGTTTTCTTAGTAGTTCTTGTCTTCTGGCAGCTCTGCACATGTGCACACTGGGAACAGGCTCCAGCTGTTCCTCTACCTCACTGCTGTCTAACTCCCTCTCTGCCTCCGACCCAGAGCCCTCATCCGAGCTTTCTCCAGCCCCCAGGACTGGCCCAAGTTCCTCTGCAACCTCCTCACTGTCCGACTCTGCTGCCAACTCTGTTGGCTACCAGCAGGCCACAACAACCTGCTTCGGACAAAATGGTTGTCCAGTCTCTTCTTGAGAGTCACCAGTGATCGAGCAACCATCACTTCCGAAGGCAACGATTATTTTCACCGATTAATTGTTCTCACTGTCAGGAAAGTTCTTCTTCTTTCTAGATTGGATGCGTCCTTGGTAACGTTTCCGTCCATTTCTTCTCGTCCTGCCCTCAGGCGCTTTGATGATTAGGTCTCCGTGACGGGTGTGAAAAAACTGCTTTGAGAGCAGTTGATATTCCAAATAGACAATCCTGGGAAATCAGCTGTTTGGGGATTGGGCACTTTCATAAACATTACGCTTCGAAGAATAAACTCTCGAAAATTACTGCTAGAAAGGGAACGCACCCCGGGGCCCGTGGTACGTCTGACCCAGCATCCTTGGATGCAAGCCACAAATATTTGCCTTATGTTTTTTTCACTCTCCCAGCCAGACCGAATTGCTTGTTTTAGGAAGACAGGTGTGCCCTTTGCCTTTGGTTTTCCTGCTGTGTTTAATCACAGTTCTAATGTTAAAGAGGATGCAAAAGACATTATTATTTCAGGCCGAGTTTCTGACACTATTTTAATAATGTATGTGAGGCCAAGAGTACCATCTGGCAGGAAGCAAACACAATTTCCTGTCTGGTGGCCGTCGTTTTTCCTTCCCCTCTTCGCTTCCTTTTTCATCCCAGGGGTCCTTTCCAATAATTCACAGAGGCCTAGGTTGCCTTCCGCTTGTTTCCCTCAAGAGTCAAGTCAGGGGCACGCTGGTGCACGGCCTCCTTTTTCATATTTTTTGTTTCTAAATACATCCATTTACTGCAAAACTCTTAATAGCAATAGCACTTAGATTTATATACGGCTTCACAGTGCTTTTACAGCCCTCTCTAAGCGGTTTTACAGAGTCAGCCTCTGGTCCCCAACAACCTGGGTCCTCATTTTACCCACCTTGGAAGGATGGAAGGCTGAGTCAACCTTGAGCAGGTCAGGATTGAACTGCTGGCAGTGGGCAGAATTAGCCTGAAATATTCTAATCATTGCACCACCATGGCAAAGGAAGGAAGGAAGGAAGGAAGGAAGGAAGGAAGGAAGGAAGGAAGGAAGGAAGGAAGGAAGGAAGGGCAATAGCACTTAGACTTATATACCGCTTCACAGTGCTTTCCAGCCCTCTCTAAGCTGTTTACAGAGTCAGCCTCTTGCCCCCAACAATCTGGGTCCTCATTTTAGGACGGAAGGATGGAAGGCTGAGTCAACCTGGAGCCTGGTGAGATTTGAACTGCCAAACTGCAGCTAGCAGTTAATCCTGATCTGTTACAGCCCAACCTTGATACTTTTGAGTGGAAAGCCCGGGTTCCATCAGAAATTATCCGCATTTTATTTTAGCATTTTTCAACAAAATAATCTTGTCGTCCTTGGTGAAAGAAAGCTTGTATTTCCAAGGAAATCTCCTTGTAACGCAACAAATGCAATCTATTCTGGGTACACCTTTGGGAAGTATTTTCGATTTTTCATCCTTGATATCATTCCCCATCCACATAAGTTTACACAAATTATTTATGGGGGGGGGGGAAACCCCAGTAATAACCTAATACTCTTTGGGGAAAAGAATGCATCTCCTATGAAGATTAACGAAGCTATTGAAGTCTAAGAAGGACATTATTTTAAGGTTCCTCTTTCATAATCATTATATATAGGCACGCAAGCACCTGTTTTTAATATTTTCTGTCCCAGAGAGTTGGCTTTTTAATTTGCAGTTTCGCGTCTTAGTTCTGCTTGTACCAAACAACTTTAAAAAGCGGTCCACGAGTTGTCATCCGCCGTCCACGAGTTGTCATTCAATGTTCCTTTTATTTACTTTGTTATCTACTTTTTATCTTAATTTGATCAAAAAACCGTGCCTACCCTTTTGTGGCCCAAAGTCCCATCTACCTTCTGCTTTGTCCTTTAGTCAGGGCTGATGGTCAGTTTGCATCCTGGTTGTGACTTGGCTCAAGAACATTGCCCTCTTTCCAACCTTCACCCAAATCTAAGAAGAGAGTCTTTTTGAAGTCTTCTTTCCCCTCAGGGATGTGGTAGCTCAGTGGCTAAGATGCTTTTGTTGATCAGAAGGTCGGCAGTTCAGCTGTTCGAATCCCTAGTGCAGCGTAACGGGGTGAGCTCCTGTTACTTGTCCCAGCTTCTGCCAACCTAGCAGTTCGAAAGCACGTAAAAAATGCAAGTAGAAAAATAGGGACCACCTTTGGTGGGAAGGGAACAGCGTTCCGTGCGCCTTTGGCATTGAGTCATGCCGGCCACATGACCACGGAGACGTCTTCAGACAGCGCTGGCTCTTCGGCTTTGAAATGGAGATCAGCACCGCCCCCTAGAGTCGGGAACGACTAACACATATGTGCGAGGGGAACTTTTACCTTTACCTCTTTCTCCTCTTTCAGAGGGCGATATCATAAAAGCACGAGGCAATTAGCTTCTTGCTCCAGAGTGATGGGTGAGTTTACGATGGCATGTGACAGTTACAAAACAATGAGATCCGAATTGTACCGTAAACCCATATCATCTACTAGGATAAACGGAAGTGTCCAACTCAACAGAAATCCTTCTTACTGATTTATCCATATATAACTTTAATGACCGGATCAATTAGCTGATGGACTACAACTAATGAGATTAATTGATTCAAATTGAGTTGGCCGTCCTGGTAAATCCAATGGTTTGACTGTCTCGAAAACTTTCTTTCTTTCTCACTCACTCCCCTCTGCAATTAGAACATAGAACATAGCACAACAGAGTTGGAAGGGGCCTTGGAGGTCTTCTAGTCCAACCCCCTGTTTGAGCAGGAGACTCTATACCATTTCAGAGAATTGGTTTGTCCGGTTTTTTGAAAGCCTGCAGTGATGGAGCACCCACCACATCTGAAGGCAAGCTGTTCCATGAGTTGATTGTTCTTGTTGTTGTGTAATATTGCTTAGTATACCATTAGTGGGTTCATCTCCTGCGGTCATTTCTTATTTAGTATTTTCACATCAGTTTTTGACTTTAGCTCTCATATTCAGTTTCTGGGTTTGCACATATTGGCTTGTCTTTTGGGTCAAGATTGGTGGGACTTGCTCAGACTTCAAAGACCCACGTAGAATTCTGAACTGTTTTGTCCTTTTTTCCTTTGGAAATAGGAACTGGGCATCACCAAAGGTTTGGTTTCGTCTGGGTTCTTGGTGCTCGCTGAGCTTGGCTGTTTTCCTGCAGATGTTTCATGACCCAACTAGGTAACATCATGAGTGATAGAAGGGAGTGGAGTTTACGGAGAGGAGGAGGAGGAGGAAGAGGAGGAGGTGGAGGAGGAGGAGGAGGAGGACTGTGGGATCCTTAGTGCTCTCTGAGCTTGGTTGTTTTCTTGCAGACTTTTCATGACCCAAATAGGTAACATCATCAGTTTGCTCCCAGACCAAGCCCCACTCCCCCCAGCACTGATGATGCTACCTAGTTGGGTCATGAAACGTCTACAAGAAAACAGCCAAGCTCAGGGAGCACCAAGAACCCCAAGGAGCCTGAGTGGCGTAGGAGGCTAATGCCTCCTACTAAGGCAGCATTTAACATCCAGCTGCCTGCAATTACTGCGAGTTCAATTCTCACCAGGCTCAAGGTCGACTCAGCCTTCCATCCTTTCTAAGGTGGGTAAAATGAGGACCCGGTTTGTGGGGGCAATAAGCTGACTTTGTATAAAATATACAAAAGTATGAAGGCTATTGCTTCACGCATTGTAAGCCGCCCTGAGTCTCCGGAGAAGGGCGGCATATAAAAATAAATAAAAATAAATAATAAAAAATTTAAAAAACCCACAGTTCAACCCCGAGCTATAAATATTCTCTTCTATATGTTGTTTTTTTAATTGATCGGTTTCCGTTTGAATTTAAAACGGGATTGCGTAAAGAATAAAAGCGGTATCTAGAACAGAAATAGCTGGAGATGTTTTGCAAGGGAAGTACCGAGATCCATTTGTTACAGAAAGAGGAATTTGTGCATTTGAATCAGATATTTCATCAGTCTTTGAGAAGACGCGATCCCCGATGACTATAGCTACAATTATAGCTGTCACTTGTAAACATCTTTGCTTTTTATTCCCTCCTTGTCTTCCCAGCTGAGCATGTTAATTAACAACTTGCATCACCTCTTGGTATCTGAAACCAAGAGAGCTAAAGGCATCCTAAAAACAGAAGGAAAGCCTCTTGTCTTTGATTTTTTTTTCCCCCTGGCATTATTTTCCCCACCCCCAAAAGTGTTGTTTCTTTTAGCCCGGAGACTTCAAAAGCTTTATTTGGTATTTAAAAAAAAAAAACAAGCACCATTTTGTAGTAGTTTGCTGGTAAGGAGGTGTTTTGGTCTTTTTGTTTCCTTTTTGGCTTTTTGGTGATCTCTTTTGAATGGCATGTAGATACTGTTTATCCCTCCGTGCCTGTTGATGGCCAGTTTGTCTGAATGCCAGGCTTCCAGCCTACCCAGTTTTCCCGTCACTGAGAACTTACATTCTGATTTTCACCCGTACGTATACTTTATACTTTAAAGTTTGTTCTTCTGAATGCCATACAGAAGAAGCCGTACGTCTCCCAGCTGAGATACGCTATTCCCGTTTCGCAGCATATCCATCCCAAATGCGCCTTGTCCTAACTCAATAAGCATTCTTATTTTTTTTCCCCCCCCAAATACAGAACCATCACCTTAGAGAACCAGTTGGTCATTCTTGCAACCTTGCCATCGGATGCCGGGAACTACTATGTCCAAGCGGTGAATGAAAAGAACGGAGAGAACAAGACGAGTCCATTGATTTGCTTGAACGTGACAGGTGAGTAGCTGTACTTTTTTTTTTTTAAATTTGATTTATATGCCGCCCTTCTCCGGAGACTCAGGGCGGCTTACAATGCGTTAAGCAATAGCCTTCATCCTTTTGTATATTTATACAAAGTCAGCTTATTGCCCCCACAAACCGGGTCCTCATTTTACCCACCTTAGAAAGGATGGAAGGCTGAGTCAACCTTGAGCCTGGTGAGATTCGATCTTACTTTAATTGCAGACAGCTGGTCTTAATAACAGGGTGCTTTAGACCACTGTACTACCAAGGCTTTTGACAAAGAGAGTACAACACAGAAGCTATTTATTTATTTACTTAGTCCACAGGTGTTAGAGTGTCCAGGGTTAGACCCCCACCCGCCACCCCCCGCTTTAGAGGTTCATTCCAATATAAGGAGAAAAGGGGAAAAAAATATTTTCTGTCTGCCAGGTAGGATTTCTGCTGTATAATTGGACTGCACTAATATTTCATTGCCTGAAATGATTGTTTTGCCCAAGTGATTGCAAGTAGATATCAAAAACAAACAAACAAACAAAAAAAAAAACACACACCCTGACAATGGTGTCATATAAGAACCCATCTCATAAAACAATAGAAAGAAACTCGGAGGGGAGAATTTATATAAAAACTTCTCTCTCTTCTGCTCGTATTATCTAATGAGAAGGCACAGGCTAAGAAGCCAGATCTGGAAATCTTCTACTGTAAAGTTTTTTGCTCCAACTTGCCTGCTCCAACCTGGTAGAATAGCCTTGGTAATTGCTTTACCCAGTTGTTTTTTAAAAAAAATTTGCATAAATTCTGACGTGTAACCTCTCAACTTTCTTTTCTTTTTTTTTTCCCTTTCCTGGCTACCCAAGAAAAGCCGCTATACTTAGAATTTAATGACACTCATTTATAAAGCAGGCTTTAATGGTCTGTATTACATAACCACTAATGCACTCTGCAGCTCATTTTCTGATCTTAATTAACATTGGGGAACAATCGGTTTACGACCACGGGAATAAAGCATTTACAGTACTCCATAGGGGGCAATGCATGCTGTGTGGGGGGGCTTAGAAAAGAAAAGGGAAAAGTTTCCTATGAGTTGCAGAATTCAGAAGTGGCTGAAAAGTTAATGACTAAAAGAAGAACAGGAAAACCAGCATACTCTGTGTGTGTGTGTGTGTGTGTGTGTGTGTGTGTGTGTGTGTGTGTGTGGTGTGAAAGATCAAGTCCATGCATGAAGGTCCAATTAAACTGATTTATTGCTGAACAGCCTATGCACAGAAATCTTATTGACTGAGTGTCAGCACTTGCTAGGAGTTAAGCTAAGCCTGCACAGAATTCAAGGAAGGTTGGACTTAGTTTGCTCGTGGCTACGTAGCGATTCTAGGCTGATTCCTCTTTTCACTCCACCCTCAGTTTCTGCCACTTCTTCTCCTACAGTGTGTTAGGATCAATAAAGAGGTTGGAACTCTTGATTCCAATAGTTTTGGTGATGCTTTAATGTCAGAAATGCCAGTATTGAGGGAAGTTGGAGGGGCCACGAAGGATGCTCCAGGACTATTATCCATCCAGGCCAGAGAGCCAGATTTTATTTATTTTTATGTATTATGAAATTTCTATGCTGCCCATCTCACCTAGAGCTGACTCTGGGCGGCTCGCAGCAAGGTAAAATCAACAAGATTCAACACTAAAATATCAAGATAATATGGAAGTTAACATTTAAAGTAACAAAGACGGCCAAGGAAGGGAGCAAGGTGCCCATGGATCTGGGGTGTGTGTGTGTGTTTCTACTTACCTTTACTACAGGTTCGCAACGGGATCGCTTCTGTGTATGTGCAGATCACCGATTACGACATCCGGGATGGTGGGCGTGGCCTCCCACCGGTTTTACTACCGGTTCTTGTGAACCGGTCCGAACCGGGGGCAACTCACCACTGCCATGGATGAAGATAGGGTCTTCTCTCAATGCATTAGCCATTTCCAGTGCGACATGCTCACATCGGGGTGCCACGCCAAGCCAGGTTTTAAGACCCCCTACAGAAGGCCAAGAGGGTGGACGGATGGCTCTCCTCTGACATGATTCTTCTCAACCTCTTTTTCAAACCATACCAATCGCCATCTGTGACCGCCTTTGGAGGCCCACCATTCCCATCCTCGAATTATGTGTCGGGCAAAGAAATAATTCCTTCCATCTGACCCCAATCTCACCCCCTCCCTCCCTCCCTCCCCATTTAATTTCAGTGATGGCCCTATTACACTGACCATACTTCGCCTTGATGTTTTGCTTATTAACGTTCTCCATTTAATTGATTTACGAAACAAGCTTTGGGCATGCCAGATGCCGGGGCTCATCCGCAGTAAAAGCCGTAATTTAAAGTAAGTTAAATTTCTCCACCATGAAAAACGGCAGCAGGAGGGATGTTTAAATATCAATACCATAAAAGTAACAAATGACAGTCAAGAGAGACATACGGTATTTAACTCCTTTGGAAGTGTTTTTCTCCCAAAGCCAATGGAAGGGAAGGGGGCATTGGAAAGCAATTGTCCCAGTTGGGATGAGGGCTCAAGCCTTAACATGTTGTGTAGACATACAAGGGCAAGGTCTGAACCCCCCACCCCACCCCCTGAACCCCCCACCCCACCCACTCCCAGGCAAAAGCTGACAGTCTGGAGAGATTCCTGTATTATAGGCAGAGAACAATGAAGTAGCTAGATTGAACTCTACACATTACAGATTAACAGAGTTGGAAGGGACCTTGTAGGTCATCTAGTCCAACCCCCCGCCCAAGCAGGAGACCCTACACCATCTCTGACAAACGGCAGTCCAGTCTCTTCTTGAAAGCCTCCAGTGATGAAGCTCCCACAACTTCCGAAGGCAACGTCTGTTCCATTGGTGGATGGTTCTCACCATCAGAAAATTTCTCCTTATCTCCAGGTTGATCAGTTTCTATCCATTATTCCTTGTCTGGTCTTCAGGTGCTTTGGAAAGTAACTTGGCCTCTTCCTCTCTGTGGCAGCCCCTCAAATATTGGAAGACTGCTATCATGTCTCCCCTGGTCCTTCTCTTCACTAGACTAGCCATGCCCAGATACGTGGGTCTGGTTATTTGTGTCTGACAGGGATGCCCAAATCATCCAAGTGAGTTGATGACTCACTCCCACAAGTGGGGTACACCCTCTTTCCCCCATATCCTCAAGAGCTTAAAACTGAGCGTTTTAACCTTTCTTCTTCTTTTGTCAATTGAGAGCCAAAGGATAGAAAATCAAGAACTGTTCCTTTTTTTTTTTAAATTTTAATTTATATGCCGCCCTTCTCCAGAGACTCAGGGCGGCTTACAGTGCGTTAAGCAATAGCCTTCATCCTTTTGTATATTTTTATACAAAGTCAGCTTATTGCCCCCACAAACTGGATCCTCAATTTACCTACCTTAGAAAGGATGGAAGGCTGAGTCCACCTTGAGCCTGGCGAGATTCGAACCTGCAGTAATTGCAGACAGCTGGTGTTAAATTACAGTGCTTCTGTCTGTTGAGCTATCCAGGCTCCTAAATCATTTTGAGTTGGATCAACAGTGACCTGAAAACCAGTGGACATTTTGATCTCTCTTAAACGAAGTGAATTACTTTTCAAGCTGTTTATGACACAACATTGTAGATCTCTCTTCAAACAATTCATTAAAAAAAAAAAAAACCCACCAAGAGTCTAACTTGAGCAAATGACTAACAGGCAAGTTTGAAATTGTTGGCCATCAATAATTTCTTTTGGCACCAGGTTGGGTTTTTGCTACTCTGCTAATTGGTGATGCCATTTCAGGCTCCGCTGTAAGGAAGGAGTGACATCTGGCAGATTATTAATAAAGTAAATTTTCTCTGCCACAATTCATAATGTTAGGAGACGCATGCTTCTCTCCCCCCCCACCCTCACATTTAGATGACTTATTTTTCTCCCCTTCCATGCAGGCTTTTTTTTTTTTAAAAAAAATGCAAAATACAATGGATGAAAGTTTTAAAAGTCTGTCCATCCAGTGGTTCTGAGAAGACCATAGATAATGTAGACAATTGTTTAACGGAGATAAGTAATCTCCCAAGCATTGCAAAGAAAAGAAACCATTGTCTTGCTGATAATAACATGAAAGGAACGAAAGGAATAAAATTACACCCTTGGTTTGGTCGTATTGTAATTAATTTTTAATATAAGGATATCACTTTGCCCTAGGTCTTCATCTCAGGGCGCGAAGAGGTCTGGCATCTATAATAAACAGCTCTTTCATCAAACGTCTTTAGCGATTAATTTATTCCTCAATCCTCACGCAAGTTTTCTAACAATAAGGCATTGTCCACGTTGACTGCTCTACCAGTTTATGAGATTCACCCCCGGGCTAACAATTTTTCTCATCGTGCTGCACTTCTACATATGGATTATGCCTCTGTAGATTTAATTATACTAAATAAATATGTAGGTATGATAAATCTGTGCAAGGGAGGGGGGGAAACGTCCCCCCCAAAAATTCACATGCTTGCTCATTGAAGACGTCTGTGGTTGACAGGATTAAAAATGGATGTGGGCCTCCTACTTATAGAGCTGCGATCTGAACTTGATAGGCTGATAATTTTTTTTCCCCCCTTCTCCTGATGTCACAGAATTCACTTTGGGTGAGCCAGGCAACAAGATGGCCTGTTAAAAATAGGAGATTGGCCCTGAAAATAATCGAGTTACATTGTGGTTCATCAACACTTCATACAAAAACCCGCTTGGGCAAAAAAAAAAAACAAAACCCAAAAACATTCTAAATGTTAATTAACAAAAAGAAGAAGCACTAGTACCCATTTCTATCCGTGGGATGGCAGCCAATAAAGGCATCGAGTTAAATCATTGCCTGAATTTTAAAAGTGCGAAATATTAAAGCAGTATATTCAGTGGAACTGCCTGGATGTTACGTGGATTTGCTATTGAGGATGCAGAATATGGATAAAAATTGCATAAAATCGGGGAAGGCATATCGAAGATTGGAG